AATAGCATTGGGAGGGGGGGGGAAGAAGAGATCCGTGTCGGAGATTCAATCTGTGCGTTTGATTCTTAATATGTATTGTTTTAGAGATGAGTTGTTTGTAACATGATGGCTTCGTATTTAAGATATTTATGTTAGACACATCACAAGACTTTGATTGGTCTAACATAAAGAATCTAATATAATCTTAGATACGGAGCCATCATATTACAAACGACTTATTTCCGAAATACATACGCACGAATTGAATCTCCGTAGTGACACGGACCTCTCNNTCCCCACCAATGCTATTTACTAATAGTAGATAACTTTGAAGATTAGCATTGTTTACATGTGTAAAAATCACACATAATCTGCACATGTGCACGAGAGATTAGATTAGAGAGATTAGTCAACATTTAGTGAGTTTACATTTTTATTCATTAAACATTTTATACATTTAACATGTAATTGAATTTTTAAAAAATATATTTTATAAAATTTGACAGTTAACTCATCACCTCGATATATGACTTCAGCCGTAAGACTTAAAAATCAAACATTATTGTAAATACTCATATATACTTTTATCACACATTTACTTGATCGACGATCATTGTGATTTGTCTCTCATTCAATTTAATTAGACAACTGATAAAAACCGAATCCTCCAATCAAAACGTCTTGATTGTAATTTGCAACAGCATCAATAAATCAAATTATTCAAACAACGGTGAACATGCTCCTATTAGCCTATTTCTTCTTGTATTTGTATGTCAGAGCCATACTTCATTGAATAAATTATAAATATTGAATTAATAAATTAATTTTTTTCCGTGATGAGTCTGGATAATGATAATTGTTATGTGAGTACAACATTATGTATTATTACCAAAGAAACGTCATGTTGTGGTCATCAATAACCGATACATTGAATCTATAAGTTATTTTATATTGAAATAACCTATTATTTATGAGATTTTTATTTGTAAAGACANGATTGTTTATAGATCTTACACTCTCGTTTTCTATATCACCTTTTACAATACTAACAGATACTATTTATGCCAATTGTAAAAATGTATCTGAGATTAATGTTGAAANAAACCTAATTTAATTCTAGATATTATTGTTGCCGAGTACAAAAAAAATCCAAGAGCTTCGCCAATTACAATTAAACACTTTTGTCAAAGCGTGGGTGCAGTTATCAACANCGCAAAAGATTGGGAAGGCCATCGCTCATTCCGAGCTAAAAGAAGCAACAATAATGATGTACAAGATAACTAAATGTTTTATGATCTTAGTTTCTTATTTATATTTAAATGGTTTAGTTTTTTTATTATTTTATTAATATATTTTAATATTATAATATAGTTAATAATAGATAATATATTTTATATATA